CCTCCCTCCCCCCCACCCCCCACCAACCATCCCAAGGAGATGTGTGGGATAACCACTAAATTTTAATAAATAATACCTCAAACTAAAGTTAGGATAATATAATTGACATTGCTGGATTCCTTGTAAGACCAGGAATATTTTGAATATAAATGTCATATATTTTGCACAAAAGATAACATAGTTACCTAGAGAAAAAATTTTATCTACAATTTGTATGTTTAATGCAAAATATATGATGTTTATATTCAAAATGATCACCAAATTATAAGAATTCCAGCAATGTAAATTATGTTCTGACCGGGTAATTTGTATGAATTTTATGAGCTAAAACAAATATCTTCAGTTAATAAAAAAAAAAATAATCTTCACGACACTATCTGTCAATCAAAGTACCCCACCTTGCCTCCTCCCCTCTTCCAACCGCGCGGTCAGTCCCAACCCTCCCCCCCACCCCCCACCAATCCTCCCTTCAAGAGTTTTTAACATTTTGTATTAAATAATACCTCAGATTAAAGTTAGGATAATATAATTGACATTGCTGGATTCCTTGTAAGACCAGGAATATTTTGAATATAAATGTCATATATTTTGCACAAAAGATAACATAGTTAATTTGAGAAAATTTTTTATCTAAAATTTGTATGTCTAATGCTAAAATATGATGTTTATATTCAAAATGATCATCAAATTATAAGAATTCCAGCAATGTAAATTATATTCAGACTGGATAATTTGTATGAATTTTATGAGCTAAAACAAATATCTTCAGTTAATAAAAAAAAAATAATTCTTCACAGGGTAACAGATGGTCGGTCGGTCCCTCCCTCCCCCCCACCCCCCACCAACCGTCCCAAGGAGATGTGTGGGATAACCACTAAATTTTAATAAATAATACCTCAAACTAAAGTTAGGATAATATAATTGACATTGCTGGATTCCTTGTAAGACCAGGAATATTTTGAATATAAATGTCATATATTTTGCACAAAAGATAACATAGTTACTCTGAGAAAATTTTTTATCTAAAATTTGTATGTCTAATGCAAAATATATGATGTTTATATTCAAAATGATCACCAAATTATAAGAATTCCAGCAATGTAAATTATATTCTGGCCGGGTAATTTGTATGAAATTTATGAGCTAAAACAGGCAGTCAGGCAGGGTGGCGAGTGGGCAAATCTAAAAATAGCGTCTCGAGCCAGACACTCACAGCGTATATGTGGAAAAAATCCGTGTTAAGTGAAAGTTCAGCTCTGGCTAGGCACCGCGTATATGAAAAAACGCGTTAAGTGAAACCGCGTTAGGCGGGGTAATACTGTATATATATATATATATATATATATATATATATATATATATATATATATATATATATATATATATATATATATATATATATATATATATATATATATATATATATATATATATATATATATATATATATACAGTATAACCCTTTATCCAAAAATTCAAAAACCAGCTCTGAAAACTGAGAAAGGTTTTTTTGTTAGACAATTTTTTTTTTTTTTTTTTTTTTTTTTTTTTTGTAACAGCCCACCCGGGCACAGGTCACTGACCCACATCGGGTCCTGAGGGGTGAAAATGTAATAGTAATAATAATTATAATAATAATGATAATACAGTAATAATAATAACTATTCATAGTAAATAAAAATTTTAATAAAAAATACACAAAAATAAAATAAGAATGATAACAATGATAATAATAACAATAATACTGTAATAATAAAATAATGATGATAATAATAATAATATAAAGAAATACAAGAATGAAAAAAAGATCAAAAGTGAGAAACACGACCTAGACCTATGAATTATTATTATTATTATTATACTTTTTATTATTATTATTATTATTATTATTATTTTTATTATTATTATTATTATTATACTTTTTATTATATTTTCGCCCCCCAGGCCCTGATGTGGGTCAGTGATCTATGCCTGGGTGGGCTAATACACATAAAAAAAAAAAAAAAAAAAAAAAAAAAAAAAACCCTAACCATTTTGAAAACCGAAAAATTCCAAAAACCGAAATGCATCTGGTCCCAAGAATTTCGGATAAGGGATTGTCAACCTGTATATATATATATATAATTTTTTTTTTCTTCTTCACGGGAAATAGCCCACCTGGGCACTAGTCATCGACCCACAATGGGGCTTAGGGGGCGTAAAAATAAGAAGAAAAAAAAAGAACTTAAAAGTAGAAGAGAAAAGGCCAAATTAATCTACACCACGGAGATGCCGGAAAACCAGCGTTTTAAAGTGAGACAGATTGTAAGAGTATGGAAACACAGAAGAAGACAGAGCATTCCATAGTTTTACTATGTGAGGAAGGAAGGATGTACTATAATGGGTTATTCTAGTGTCACCGACATTCACACAGAAGCGGTGGGCACGGCGGGCAAGACGAGTATTATAAGCCCACGGCCTTGCCAGTGGTACTCAGGATGCCAAATCCACCGAACAATGCCCGTTAAAGTACCTGTAAAAGAGAGAGAGTGAAGCAACATTGCAGTGAAGGGAAAGGTAAGAAAGATTATCAAATAAAGAAGGAGAGTTAATAAGATGAAATGCCTTTGATTCCACCCTGTCTAACAGTTGGACAGAAGAAGAGCTGCCCCAGATATGAGAGCAGTACCCCAAGTTAGGATGAATGAATCCCTTATAAACTTGAAGCAACTGCTAAGGAGTGAAGTAGCTATGGCATTTGTACAGCATTCCCAGCTTTTGGGAGGCATCTTTAGCAATGTTGTGGATGTGTGGCTTCCATGATATATTAGAGGAAATGGTGAGGCCAAGCATATGTATTTTAGAATTTGGCAGAATGATTGCATCCTGAAATGTGGTTGGTGGGAGATCTTCTATTTTGGAAAGTGTAGTTGGTAAATACTGTGTTATATTACTATTGAATTTAACCAATTTTCTACCTCCCCATTCGGAGATGTTGAACAGATCCGTATTGATAGATGAAATGACATGAGCTCTAGAAACAGATCTATATATCGTAATTTCTTCAATTATTTAATATGTCATGTTATTTATGGAGAAACATACACCATAAGAGGCTGATTATATGAGAATATAATAATAAATAAATAAAAACAATCTTGCAAATGCAGCACAGTCAGTCCCTCCCCCCCCCCCCTTCCCTTATGGAGAGAGGGGGTGAGTGGTCAGGAATAGGATTACCTTGTGATTCAGCTCGTCTTTCATTTTGAAGTAAAATTATATTTTATTCAGTACACGACTGTACAGTATTTTGCTCTATTTAATACTGCATGTTATATTATTTATGATGAAACATACACTATATAATAGGCTGATACGAGAATATAATAATAAATATTGTAAATAAAAACAAACTGGTGAAGTGGCAACCTCCAGTACGTTGACACACGAACATCTCTTGTCCGTATTAGCTCTCTTCAGGCCTGTATCAAATCCGATCACACCACTGTACACTATCCCCATTAAAGACAATATATACTCTACTTAAAATGCTAGGTATCATTTATGGGTTAAATAGAAGAGGAAGTATTGCTGGGGCATTTAGACATGATGTGCATAACATACGTAACACAGTGTAGTTAGCAAAACTTGCTGGGTATTTTCCGAATAAATAATTGTCGGTTATGCGAAGCATCGGTCAATGGGACATTGGTTTACAGGGTATACCTGTACTTCTAATAAAATTATAAATTAAAGATAAATAAAATTAAATGCAACACAAACAAACTTTTATTTTTATATTATGTAATATAATTTCATGTTCCCTTTGATTTTAACACTATTTGAAGTCATTTTGGCATGGATCCAATAAGTGTTTGCAAATAACAGCGACCCATCTCCATTGTCCAGATCTGCTTCATCTCTTACAGGCGAGATAATGATAATGTCTTCTGTTAACAGCTTGTGTTTCATCTGTTGACACTCATTCTCTACCATACACCCCATGAGGAGTGTTGTTTTGGTGCCATGAGAAGATGGCATGTTCAGCTCCTTTTGTGGTTGGTGTTAAGCTCTTGTGTATGGGGTTCTGCATGTGTTTGCTAAATAAAATCTTGCATTAGCCAAATAAAATATTAAAAGTGGCATCCCCCATAGTGAAGGGGTTTAATAATTCATTCTGACACATCTTCATATCCCCTGCATACATTGTCAGATTTTTCATCAATTCTCATCTCATAAGTATGTCAGTGACTTTTGGAGTCTTTTTGGGCCCCCCAGGGGATGATTTTGTGTTGGAACAGAATATATAGGAAGATTGCATACCATACACTTCAGTCACATTGTTCATATGTCTCATCCAGGAATTACCTCAGATGAACTTTTTCACCCAAAAGGGCAAGGACGCAAGCCTTTCCTTCCCAGATATAAGCTGGTTTATTTCATGAATTATTTGTTAAATGGTGGAATTTATTGGGACCCTTCAAGGGCCTGCTGGCCATTGAAGTCTGGATTTTGATGTTTAGCAAATGTTCAAGAAAGTGAGCTACAGCCCACTTCAGCAGTGCTCTTAGCTGGGCTCCAAGGGACCCATTGGGTAGGTAGTTCCTTTGAGGCTTAACAGGAGAATTCCTCTATTTCCATAATTGTTCTCATTGGTCATAATTATTTGTTTGCTGGAGTTTTTTACAATGGGGTTGTATGTGGGTAAATTATATAATTAATTGATTTAATAGTTCATATGTACCAGGAGTATATTATGAGCCTTTGGCTTGATTGAGTAGAAATTATGTGTTTGAAGTATGCAGGCAGAGGTGTAGGTCAGCACTCCTCATATGGGTCAACATTAATGCTGTCTAGCTCTGGCTGAATGTGCAGGCAGGAGGTGCAGGTTAGAAGTTCTCTTTTGGGGGAAGCATTAGTGCTATTTAGCCCTGGCTGAAGCTTTCTTCTGTGCTTGGACACTATTAATTGATTTTCTGGCTTTAGAGAAGTATTAATGTATTTATTTTTTCCATTAACAGGAGAGGATGCAGAAGAGGAGGCAGAGGAAGGCGATAATCCTTTTGCTTCATTGAACGAAGATTTATATTTGGAAGATCCAAAGAAGACCCTCCGTGGATGGTTTGAACGAGAGGGTTATGACCTCCCCAATTATGTTATTGAAGACATCAGTCCAGGCTTCTACAAATGTAAAGTGGAGTGAGTCAAACTTGAAGCTTGGGTTATTTGCCTGTAACATTAAGTTATTATGCTGTTTCTTTCTCTGTAATTGTATGAGGTTATAGTCTAACTTTGTCTAAATAATTGTAAATCAGTTCCTTGTTATTTGTAGAATACTGAGAATCATTCATCTTTACCATCATCACTGTTATATGACAATTTCCTATGCCTACATGGGTTAGCTGTGAAGCCTCTCTTGTCAGGTTCTTAACTCTTGAGATGATTTTTTACAGCCTCTCCCCATGTCACCCTTGGTCTACCTCTGGCTCTCCTCCACATTCATACTTGGGCATCTCTTGACCATTTGTTTTCCTACATTCTCTCCACATGTCTGAACCATTTCAGCCTATTTCTCCATTCTCATTCAGTTGATCAAGTCTACATTTGTCATCCTTTTTAACCCCCAAGTTTCCTTGTCATACAGTATCACACTTCTTATGCAGGCTACATAAGACTTTCCTTTTAAGGGAAGAAAAGGTTCTCTCAAAGTCAATAAAGGCAACCGTTACCAGAATTTTTTACAGCTACTTCTGACTTTTACAGATCAGCTCGCTTCAGCTCCACCTCCAGCATAACACATGTCACCCAGGTAGCAGAACTCATCAACACAATCCAGGATAGATCCCCAATGTTGAACTTATCTAACCTTGCCGAATTCACGGGATGACTTGCACATACAACATACTTAAAGCTAACAACGTCCTGCAGTCTACCATTTTTCAGTCAATGCACATTACTAAATTTCTGCCAAGTTTGCCACCATTCTTCTTAAAGATAGCACATTCCACAACCAGTCCTTTGCTGACACCACTTATCATTACTTTTATTTTTGCACCACCTTCACTTACACCCTTTGACCCCATTCCATCTTTCCACTTCTTAAATTTCTCTACTATCTTTTCTATATTATTTTTGATTAACACAAAGTCAGTACCATACCACAACTAGGGCAGACTGTTCTAAAATAATTTCAGATTCCTCATTTTCCTCATCATTTGCTCTAACAGGGGTTTTTAAGCCCCATGTAATGCCTTAACTTATTGTTGCCTAGCCATGAACCCAAACTGCATTTTGCTAATGGCTGCTCTCTTCCTTATCATTTTCTCAATCACCCTTTCTGCAACTTTCATAACCTGTTCTAACTAAGCTTCATGCCCTTGTAATTTTAAGATTCAAATGCATAATTTTTTCCTTATAAGGACAGCATTTTTTGTACCTAGATGGACAGTTTTTTAGTTATTGGTGACGTACGAAGGCTAATAAATGGCATTTTGCAATCTGAATTGGCAGTCATAAAACATGAACTGACAATATACTGTAGCAACAAATAACGTAAGACACGTAGCATTCACTTGGACCTTCAACGCAATGAATGCTCAAAGTGTATGCCTCCTACGTCATTTGTTGCTATATGAGTCAGTTTGTTTTACAACTATCAATTCAGATTGGAAAATATAATTTACTGTACTGGCCTTCATATGTCACCAACAACTGAAAAACTCTCCAATTGGTCCGTAAATGCTATATTGTATTCACAAATATGTTCTTCAGCCAGTCAGCTGGAGCAATACTTTCCATCATAATTGCATGAGCCAACTTGGTTACCATCGTCACACTAACATCACCTGTACAGTTCTGTATAATTATTGTAATGACATATTTTCAAGTGTGTTTGTACTGAAAGAATACAGTACAGGCAGGTAGTGGTTTTGAATGTTAACACTTGTCATGGTTACACTATAGATGGAGTGTACAGGTATATCAGTAATTTTATTTCAGACTTCCTGGCCCTGGTGGTATTCCATTAATTGCCACTGTTGAGCACAAAGGGAAAAAGAAGGAGGTAGTAATACAGTGTGCTCTTGAGGCCTGCAAGCTGCTTGACAGACAAGGTGTTCTCAGGCAAGCAAAACATGGTAATATTGTGCATTTATTGTTTTTTTTTAATCCATTCTACTTTAAATGTAGGGAAACTGCATGTTATATATTTATGAACAAATTGTGACTTTGCCATTGAAAGCACTGGCTATATAAGAAGTAAAAAAAGTGGTCTTCCATAGGCCTGACAGCTCATTTTTGGCATTTTGGATACAGAAAACTGAATATTTTATATATATATATATATATATATATATATATATATATATATATATATATATATATATATATATATATATATATATATATATATATATATATATATATATATATATATATATATATATATATATATATATATATATATATATTTTTCTAGTCCGGCAACCTCGGGACCTGACCAGTGCCGGACCATGGAAATTGCCGGACCATGGAAATTCACCCTTTTCCTGGATAGATAGTGACTTGTGCTTATGCCTGGAAGCACTAGCACCACTTTCTCTGCATCATGGTCTCTTTGAAGACATATTGAAGGGTTAAATGTCGTATAGTAGCTTCTCAAATTTCGCAAGTTTTTAATTCTTAACGTATTTTATTGGAACACAAAAAAATAAGTAAATAAAAATTTTGACGGCGGAAACTTGAATTTCGACGGGTTTGAACGGCCCGCCAATGTGCAGACGACGTGCATAATCGTGTAAACAGCGTCATTTCTCTTGTGTACAAAAGATTCATTATTGTTTATTACTGAATGTCTTTTTTATTGAATTAATGTTTGTGTGTGCAAAATGAGCAATACAATTCATTAATAATACGTAGAATACTAAAACACACGAGGAAATGACACAGCATTGTATTCGTTGATTACAAAACCAGTGACTGACTGGTTCTACATATAAAACTGAAGAAAATAAGACCTTGGTTGTAGCTGTAGTAAAATTTATATGGTTGTTTTAAGTAATGTTATTAATGTTAATAAATGGAACAATAGAAGTAGCTAACGATAATGGTAAAGAAAAAAGAGAGATCGCATATGTAAGTGCGCATGCGCACACGTGAAAACATATCATTACCGTATATCACGGCCTATAAGGCGGCGGGGTGCATAAGACGCCCCCCCCAAATTTCCATTTAAAAAGTAGCTTTTGAGCTCTATTTGCTGTATAAGACCAGTACCCCAAATGTGACACTTACCCACTGACTCAGTAGTCCTTTACCAACCATCCTTGATTTTTTAAAATAAGGCCAATTCACTTCAAGTAATGTCATCAAATTATACCCGCTGGTGTAGTGTAAACACTAGTGACGTCACTGAAGCGTGTTGGGAGTGTTCCCTCGTCTCGGTGGTGTGACTATTTATACAACATGTGGTTCAACAGCAACCAACGTATTCTAATTGTGGTGTTTCATTAGGATTTGAGTGAAAAAGGTTACCAGTATGTACTTACTACATACATTTATTACACAAATATATATATATATATATATATATATATATATATATATATATATATATATATATATATATATATATATATATATATATATATATATATATATATATATATATATATATATATATATACTGAATATACTATGTACAAAAATGAATGTTCAATGAATTATTTATGGTGCATTAGGGTACTGGTCACTTCTGATGGGCTATAAATAGCCTTCTTTATCTCCCCTACATCTCACCCTGAGCCAGACGGAAGGGTCTTGGTAAATAACATGTTTGCTTATTTTCCATTTACTTTAAATAGATTTACCGAATTATTTGTTTTATTTATTTATTTATAATATACTGTAATATATTAAACACACTGTAATTATTTTCTTTAATTTATAAACTGTTTTGCGACAAAGGAATGTTCTCCAGTAGTGTTTCATTAGGATTTGAGTGAAAAAATATTACGTACTTACACAATTGTTCCTCTTACTTTGACAACACAACATACATACAGTATATTATTTCTCAGTTTTGATCTTTTTTTTTAATTTTTGTATTTATTTATAGTTAGTTACTTAAAATAAGGCCAATTCACTTCAAGTAATGGCATCAAATATTACCAGCTGGTGTAGTGTAAACACTAGTGACGTCACTTGAGCGTCTGTAATTAACCGTCGATAGTTTCAAGAATTAATGCACTCATTTACTGAATATTCTTTGTAAAAAAATAAAATTTAAATCAATTATTTATAGGAGATAAATATTATTATGAGTAAATATACCGATACCGGTATGCATTACTGACCACCTCCACGGCTAAAAATAGCCCAATCTCGCGGTCACTTTCCCTTTCTTGTCTCCTCACTGGCAAATGGGGGGGGGCGTGGGGAGGGGTGTGTGATGATAGCTGTGTTTATTACAGGGGTATAAATCTCTTTTACGGTATGTTAGACAGGTTTATAATACATTTTTATTATTTTAATATACCGGTAATCTTAATTTGAATCCAGCTTGCCAAACGTAAGTTTCAGTATAAAATAATTAGTGGTAAGACCTTGTGAGTGGCTTACGATGTTTTCATCACCACTCTTGACACACTAAACCACAATATTTAAGAGGTAAGAATTTTAAACTTGGTGGTTTAGACGACCCCCTAACTTTGGGCAGATTTTTTTAATGTTCAAATTTCGTCTTATAGGCCGTGATATACGGTACTTTACATAAGAATATGAAAGTAACACTTATTTACTGTTCATATATATTTTAATTAATGTTTCTGAATTTGTTTTTATTGAATTAATGTACGTGTGTGCAAAATTAACAATACAATTTATTAATAATACGTGGAATATTAGAGGAGACGAGACGGCTGCCGGCATTGTTTATGTTAAAGCTTACGAAACCAGTGACTGATTGGTTCTACATATAAAACTGAAGAAAATAAGACCCTGAGTTTAGCTGTAGTAAAATTAATGTAAAAAAATGAATATGGTTGCTTGAAGTACCTGTAATGTTATTTAATGTTAATAAATGGAACAATATAAGTAGCTAACCATTAATGGTAAAAAAAAAGTGAGACTGCTCGTATGTAAGTGCGCACATGTGAAAATATATCGTCATTACTCTACATAAGAATATGAAAGCAACACTTATTTACTGCTCATATATATTGAAGGGTTAAATGTTGTACTCTGTATAGACAAGCAGAGAGAGAGAGCAGCCGAACTGCCGGATGTAAACAAACCTTAATTTCCCGCGGCTTTTTTTTTTTTTTTAAGGGGATTAGCCCACCCGGGCATAGGTCACTGACCCACATTGGGGCCTGAGGGGCAAAAATTTAATACTCCTGTAATAATAATAATAATTCAGAGAAATAAAAAAAAGAAAAAAAAAGAAAAAAGCTGCCTATCTACCTATTGGACAAACTAAAATCGTTCCGGACCACGGGAGTTTCCGGACCACAGAATGCCGGACTAGAGAGGTACAACCTGTATATATATATATATATATATATATATATATATATATATATATATATATATATATATATATATATATATATATATATATATATAGAGAGATGCCTGATATTGATCGAAGGGCACGGATATTTGAAAGGCTCTTTATTCAAGACATCTTCAGAGGCAACTGTCTTGGAATAAAGACGAAGCAAGTAACGTTGTTTCATTTTCCGCAGATTTTACTCAAGATTTATCTTATTTTCTTGCAGATCCAATAATGAAAACGTGATAAGATAAATTTGATAAATACGGAAGAATGAATTTGCTGTTTGTTCAACACATCTTCAGAGGCCTCTTGAAGATGTCTTTAACAGCATCTGTGCCAAGGTGCCTGTTTATATTTTCGTAAAGCTAAGGTGCTCATTTATTTTCCCGTGATTTATCAAGATAGATATATATATATATATATATATATATATATATATATATATATATATATATATATAGATAGATAGATAGATAGATAGATAGATAGATAGATAGATAGATAGATAGATAGATAGATAGATAGATAGATAGATAGATAGATAGATAGATAGATAGATAGATATATATATATATATATAAGAGACAGTGTTGTTGGCACTGCAACCAGCTGCCATTGCTTCTCCAGCTGTAAAATTAAGTACTAATTGATAGCTAGGTGGACTAGGAGACCCAGAGTGTGACCCAGTAAGCCTTAGGGCAAGAGACAAGCTCTAGGTTACTCATCCCAATACAAGTAGTAAAGGTTTATTACTGTATAGGAAAGACAGTTGTCACTATGGTAGCCAGTTCTTATATATAGTTGTTTGCTTGGTTGTATCTTTTGTACATTGTTTATTCTGTTGAGAATTATAATGGAATTATGAAGTGTCTTTTACATTAGTTAATGAAAAACTGAATAGAATTGATCTTTTCACCACTTATCAGCTTATTAGCTATGAGGTTGGTTGTTCTGTTCTTTGTTACTTTGCCATAACCATTATTGTCCAATGTTAGTGAGGGAAGAAACCATAGTACCTGGAGAAAACCTGTTATGTTTGGTAAGGTCACACTGGATAATACCCTTCTTACATCTGACCTTGGCCAGGGATTGAACCTTGGACACAAGGGTGAGAAAAACACTCAGCAGTACAGTAGCACATACTGCAAACCATCGGAGAACTAGACCATCATCATTGTCTTTTATCCACCATCGACATTAGCACCTTTATGTCTGTCTTCTTTATTATTGATAAGGCATCTTCGGAAGATGCATGAATTTTTTCCACCTCATCGTGGGATTTTTATATCTGCTTTCTCTGTGTTAAGACTTTAAATGAGATTGTTAGAAATTTAGCAATCAAGCTCCATATCTGTTTTAATTGGAATCATGCCTTTCCAGGCTTGTTTAATTGATTTTGAGTCCTTGTCAGAACAATGGGCTAACCCTTCAAGCAATGAATCTTCATCACCCTGAGGGGTGTTAGGAAACTTGCAAAGTTTCCAGTTACCATAGGTGTATACTTCTTTTTGTTTCTTAAGTAGGTTTCTTAGAATCACACATCACTTGAATATTGACCTAGAAGCTATTAAATAAGGATTCAACTTGTAAATCTCAAACTTTAGCTAAGGGGAATATGGTCAGATCACTCAGATGGGCTGAAGTCTCTCCCTTCTCCCTGGATAGGCTTCCTTATGTGAGTTTGCTGCTGGGTGTGTGCCACATGATTTGGCTGAGCGACATGAGTTGGAACTAACTCCATAATCCCTGATTAACCCTGGGGAGGAACTAATTATGTACCATCATTGAGGTCAGTGGCTCTACCTCTCAGATAAACAAGGCAAGCTCTCTTAGAGGGTATTCTAGTTGGTTTAGCTCATAGGTCACTAACTCTTCCCCTCATTCGTAAAATTGGGCTTTCTAATTTAATTGTTTATTTATCTTGCCAACATCTTTTCTACAGAGAGCCACCAAAGGAAAAAACGTGATTGGGCTGAAAATGATTACTATGATTCTGACGAGGATGATTTTTTGGATCGTACTGGAGACGTGCAGCGGAAGAGAATAAGGCGTATGAAGGATGCTGGTGGAAAGGACAGTGCCTTTGTAGAAAATTATGATACTCTGGTAATATTTGTGGATACTGTACTGTATTTAGTTATTTTCAGTGCATGTTTTTGTTTGCTTCATGTATAGCTTCAGCATTGAAAACTTGTGAGCACTAATTGGCCCATGTACAGTCAGCTAAAGTTCCATCAGCTATGCCTTGGCTCTTATACTCGCAGTTTTACTTGGCAATACTGGGTGAAGTAAGGCTGTACATAATTGGGATCGTGATTGGTGGTTGTATTTTCGGCTGTAGCACTGTCAGGATAACTATTCATCGTTGTTTAAGATCTTGACAAGTTTCCAAATGTTCATACAGTAGGCCCTCCAAATTCACGGGGGTTACGTTCTCAAAATGGAATCACCAAATCCTTGAATAACATTTTTGCTTTTACACACACACACACACACACACACACACAAAACACATGCAAATAAATAGTAAGGGAAAATACTCTCACAATTATTCAGAAACAAATGTATATTAAAAATGCTGAGTCATCCTCAAGTCTACTCTGTGCTTTGTTATTAATTAAGCACGTAGTAGACTTGAGGGTAGATTCGGCAATTTTAATACATTTCTTTCTGATTGTATATATGTACAATATTGTATTGCATACAGTGTGTGTGCGTGCGTGCAAACACAAAACACATCCAAATAAATAATAATGGGAAAATCCTCTCACAAATATGGTTAGCAGACTGGAGGAAAAGGGAAAAGGATCTGGATTAACGATTAATGTTAGAAAAACAGAGGTCGTGAAAATAGGAAGACCAAATTATAGAAGAAGTTCCTGTTTTCAGGTATTTGGGGACACTCGTCAAAAACGATGGATCACTTGAAGATGAGTTTCAGGATAGTCAGAAGAGGTCATCAAGTTATGGGTATACTGGGCAAAGTGTGGAAGTCACATAGACTAACAGTCTATGCCAAACTGAGATTATATACTTCACTGGTAAGACCCGTTTTGGTATACGGAAGTGAATCTTGGTATGATAATGACACCATCCAGAAGATAACGTCTCTTCGAGAATAAGGCATTGAGAAGAATCTTGAACATAAGATGGCGTGATCTTATTAGAAACGAGACGATAAGAGAAGTCACAAATGTTCCCTATATCGATGAATGGCTGATGAAGAGTAGATGGAGGTGGCTGGGGCACGTTCTGTGTGTGCGTCCGGATAGAGTGTTGAGAGAGGCAGTCGAGTGGAGAGTGGACGGAACAAGAAGAAGAGGAAGACCAAGGCTTACATGGGTCGAACTATAAGAAGGGAGCTGGAGGACGAGTTTAATACAACCATGGAAACGGCTCAAGATCAAAATGGCTGGCGCTAATATGTGGAGGCCCTTTGCGTCGCACGGCATTGGAGGCGGTAACAGAACTACCCTCAAGTCTACTCCGTGCTTTGTTATTAATAAAGCACAGAGTAGACTTGAAGGTAGACTCAACATTTTTTAAATGTATTTGTTTCTGATTATTTGTGAGAGGGTTTTGCCATTATTATTTATTTGTATGTGTTTTGTGTGTAGTGTCTACACACACACACACACACACACGCATATATACAATACATGTAAAGAAAATTACTGTCTCTAGAATGAATGTCTCCCTGTCCCGACCGCAAAAATTCTGGCAACATTAAAACTACCCTCAGACATTCTTGGGAACATCCAAGGTGCCATCCACTAATAATAGAGGACCGTGAAATAAAAATCTGTGAATTATCCGAGCATACTCTACTTTATATTTGCTTCAATAATGAAGAACATAATATAAATAAATTGGCAATGTAACTTAAACCAAGGCTGCCCCACAAGATTCTCTTCTCAAATTTCAAGAATACATGTTCCATACAGTAGAACCTTGATAAATCAGACTAATTGGGGCAGACTCCATTTCGAAAAATGCAAAAGTGCAAAAAAAAGCAAATACTGTAGTGATATCCCTGTTAGCCGGAACAATCAGTGCAGAGCACTTCCGGGGGAGAGATTTCCGGGTAACGAGACAAACTTCTCAAACCCGGAAAAATTCCTTATACCCGGAATCTTTTCCGGTTACTGGGAAAAGTTTCCGAGTGTCTAAACTAGACATCTTGTACAGACAGACACTAGCCCACTTTCCCAGAACATTTCTGGGTGCTTGAAATGTTTTCCTTGAGTCTAAACTACCGGAATCCGTAAATGCAGTTTTAATTAAGTTAGAAATTTAATTTATTTACTATGATAATCTAGAATAGTTTATCTAAATGTTTGGTTAAATAAATAAATTTAAAAATTAAAAATCTATAGGATATGGGCGTGAATGAAGCTGTGTGTTTCAGCGAAGACTGTTATTTTCCACTTCCATAGAGCTGTAGGGGATTAGTGGGTCTTGTGTAACTGACCTAACCTGATGCAATGTCAGTTGGAGGTAGGATGGGGGATTTTTTTTTTTTTTTTTTTTTTTCTTTTCTTTAATTGGGCACCCCCCTACATCCTTGTGTAAGGTGAAGCGCAAAAGCATTTACAGCGCCCAACAGGGAAGCATGCTAAGTTCATGCTTGCCTTTATGTCTCACGAGTTAAGGGCGTAGAAGCCTGAAGAGTCAAGGGCGTAGAAGCCTGAAGAGTCAGTGGTTTATGTCATGAAGTTATTGGAAGCTCCAACAACTTTCCCTGAATACGAATTCGCAACTTTCGATTTACACCAGGTACCTACTTTACTGCTAGGTGAACAGGGACTAATGGGGGCTAGGAAGTAAGTCCAAACAACTTCCACCGGCCCAGGAATCGAACCCGTGACATCTCGCTTGTGAGGCAAGAACGGTACCGCATCTACCACCGGACCCCCATGGGGGATTGATGGTCTCATATTACTGACCTGATGGAATGTCAGGTCACCCTTTTTTGGGTGGCAATTAGTGGGTCTCATGACTTGAAGATGTCTTGAATAAACACGAAACCTAAAGTATTTTTAGGGAGATTGTGATAAGTATAATTATAAATGAGCAAAGATGTATTCTTTCAACATTACATTACATAACATTTTAAAATATGGAGTAAGAAAGCAAAATGATGTGGGTAATTAGAGAGATGGAAGGAAATCAGTGTTGCTAAGCACTCCTCAACAGCTGATATTTAACTCGCTACCATGCAGTCACACATATGCAGATGAGTTATACAATAGGACCCTCACTCCTCATGCTTGCTGTCTTAATTCCCTTGGGGGTGTGTAAGTGGTGTTGAAATGTGGGTGTAATGTTGGAGTGTGTGATGTGTGGGGGGTGGTGATGGAGTGGGTGATGTGGTGTTGGGGGTGTGTGTGGGTAATGTTGGTGTGTGTAGCACAGTGTGGGTGTTGTGGGCTGATTGTTGTTTACAGAAGCAAACCTTTTTGGGGTTAAGTGTTGCATGGTCAGTTTCCCCCCCTCCCCCTTTTCTCACTCAAGTATGGCTAATTGTGATAGGGAGATGAATTTGATACCATAATGATCCTTAATAAATTATCTATGAGACTTTTCCAATAAGATATCCTTAAACAAAATGTTGATGCTGGAGTCAATAAAATCAGTTCTGATTTCGTTAGACACACCATTTTTTATCAAAATAATCCTGAATACTTTGTCTAAAAGTTTAGTTAAATAAATACATTTTAAAAACAAAAGCTCCATATGATATGGGCGTGAATACAGCTGTGTTGCTTTTATCCTCTTTGCCACTGATCAACTCGTTAGCCGCTTGGGCGATCAATCACATCTCTGTTACACACTGTTGGCAAGTACTGGGCATGCACATGCTCCTGAATATATCTAAACCTCTTCCAGTGTTGGTCAAGTCTGGACTTGAAAGAGATCACATTCGGTGTCATCACAACACACACTGGCACCTTAACAATAACATAATGCTGCGACACTAGATGCTTTATACCATCTTGTACACACTACTAATAGTACTTTTTTCTTTTTATCATGGCCTCCACCCTCCCCCAATAGCCACACCTTCGCCTCCAATTTATTACCTTAAAATTAACTATCCTAATACGTAAGTAGCTACCCTAGCTGTGTTGAGTTAGTTGAGCAGCAGATCTATGCGGCATTCAGTGACTGTTGCCTCAAAGTCAATATCTGCGACTGTTGTCGGCTTTGGGGCCGATGCTCTCGTTCCCCTGAGGCAAAGCAATGCAGACCTAAGCAGACAGAAGGACAGTTGACATCTCAACCAGGCTGTAACATAAATTCTGGGCTGCTGCTTCCGTTCAGATAACACCTCCGCGAGTCTGGCGTAGAAGCATCTTGCACGTGGTCCCATCTCACCAGAGGAACGAAGCTGCCTTGATTGACACTCTGAATTCTCTCCCCATATCCCCTAATCTTGTCATTCTCGTTCCTCCTGTGTGCAACATCGAGAGCTAGGTTGCGGTAACATGCAGTCATGGGATAAAATATCCTTAAGTCGAAGTAGGCTCGCTGTCCCTGCATCCAGAGTCCACAAGCACTGACGTCAATACGGGCTTCGTTGGATGTGTTTGAAGTCTTTTGTTAGAAATTCCCACCTCCCAGTGGAAGGAAGGTCAGTTTTACCCTGACATCATGACAGATTTCCTTCAACATATTTGCAGTGAGATCCCTTACTTCGTCGTGCCTCGTGCATACAAAGCCCCCTTTCTTGCACTCCATGGCGTGGTTGACGTCATAGGAAGAGCCACACACACATTGGGAGGGCAAACCTTCTACTGGCCTACTGTACCTTAGAGTAATGGCATCTGTAAATTCTTGTTTGTTAAGACTGAAACCTTTTGCCCTTATCGGTCACGTAGTTAGCCAGTTCGAGGCGCCCACCTCTTGCACTATACAGTGGTTCCTCGGTTAACGAACACAATTCGTTCCAGAGGGTCGTTCGTTAAACAAAAATTTTGTGAACCAAATCCATTGTTTCAATGGGATATTGGGTAATTGGTTCCAGCTCACTGAAAAGTACATACAAAGTAAAAAAAAAAAATGCGGTAAAGTACACTTACTTTGTGGTGTGTATGTAGAAGGTTCCTGGTTGATGATGATGATGGGAATTAGAAGTGGGGGTGGAGGAGAAGGGAGAAGAGAAGGAAGTGGGGATGGAGGAAAAATCACCTTTCAGGGGATCCATGCTTGACGCCGTCATTTCACCCATAAAATTTTAAGTTCACTAGGTGTAATTCAAGATTATTTTATTTAAATCAACACTGCACTGTGCTATATATTATCAATATGTTAACTTTATTTCAGAATGACCATTAATTTCAATGAAAAATGCAAAATATTCAAGACACCAACAAAATAGATGTTCACTCCACTGTCAACAGAGCCCAACTGACGCCTTTTGCCTGAGTTAAGCGTTTAATGGCGCTCAAAAAACTAGTTCCCTGTACTGCATATATTATCAATATGTTAAATAAATGTTAAAATGACTAATAATTTTAATATAAAACATGCAAAATATTAAAGAGCACAACTTTATTGATATTTACTCGACTGGAAACGAATGTAAACATAGAACAGATTACTGAATTGGCAGACTATCCCATCAGCTGATAAGCTGATGTTCACAACAAAACGTGTTGTTCATAAGGATTTTGTTAATCAAATTTTTGTTCGTTAACCGAATTGAAGATTCTTATGGAATTTAATTCGTTAACCGAATCGTTCGTTAACCGAGGGACCACTGTATTGAGCCAAAAATACTAGTTGAAAAACTTTGTGTAGACAGAGTTTGGATGGCAGGGGTGGAGCTTTGGCGGGCTAGCGTTTTGCGCGCGTACGACCCATTTTGAAAATTTTGGGTTTGAAGTTGGAAATTGTAGCCTAACCCTCGGGGTAATCCACGTATAGTTGAGACCGCATAAGAAAAATATGCGTAAGTTGCGAGTCTACTGTATTGTTGGATTATGTACAAGTTGATTTTTTAAAAGAAATATAACTTTATTTAGTAAAATTTTCTTACCCAAAGTTAGTAGGAAAGTATTTATTTAACCTGTCTTTTTTCTTTTCACAGATAACAAAATATAAAGAAGTTTTAGAAGAATTGGTAACTTTAGAAGGAAAACTAAATGAGGCAGACTTTCTAAAGCAGGCCTCAGAGAGCAGCAATGGAGCTGATGATGATCTAGATAGTTTCATGCACAAGTTGAAGTCACAAGTACCAGACAAACACAAACGTGTCACTTGGAAGGTAACAATTGCTTCTCACTCCCTTTGCTTTGTTTCACTGGTATTAGACTTAATTTTTTACTTTTAGCTGTAGAAATGTTAAGATTTGTTCCTTTTTATTAACGTCCGACCAGCGTGCCCCGAGTGATGTTCCAGAACGTCCGCCTTTTCCCTCCATTTTTTTTAATATTTTTTTATTTATTTATTTTTTTTTAAGTTGATTTTTTTCTCGATTTATCCCTGTGGGGGGGTTTACTGCCAGCAACACCCTAACCCTGGACTTAAGGGTTAATCACCCTATTTTAACAAACCCTTCATTGTTCTAAGATGAATGGTAGATAAGTCAAGTTGAAAAGAAAGCAGGATTAATATCAGTTGTTCAACAACACAGACTGGGAAGATGGCATAAATACCAATTATAAAGCACAATAACCTGCATGTTATCATTTATCTTCTTCATTGCAGTTAAGAGTGGTTGATTTACGAAAGGATGAGCTACGACTGCGCAGACTTACAAATATTGCTCGACCTCTGGGTGTTCCTGAGTTACAACCGTACCACTCAAAATATGGTCAGTACTTTTCTTTATATCATTACATTGGTAAAATCATTCCAAATTAAAGATCTTATATGTTCAGTTTTCTTAAGGTGAGTTTAATACAGTGGTCCCTCGGTTAACGAACTCAATCCGTTCCAGCAGGTTGTTCGTTAACCGAAAAGTTCGTTAACCGAAACCATTGTTTCAATGGGTTTTTGGGTAATTGGTTCCAGCTCACCGAAAATTTCCTAAATTCAACAAAAATGGTAGAAAAGTTCACTTACTTTGAGGTGTGTATGTAGAAGGCTCATGGATGATGATGATGATGATGGGAATTAGAATGGGGGTGGAGGAGAAGGAAGAAGAGAAGGCATTGGGGTGGAAGAGAAGTCACCCCATGGCACCATTTCACCCATAAAATTTTAGTTCTCTTGGTGTAATTCAAGATTATTTTCTTTAAATCAACACTGCACTGCATGATATATTGTCAATATATAAAATATATTTCAAAATGACCAATAATTTGCTTGGAAACACAGAAAAAAAGCGTTTAGTTGAAGAGAGTCTCAAGCAAGATGTTACCTCCATTGAAAACAGAGAGAGACTAATGCCTGTCTGGTGTGTTAACAGGCTGGATGGCACGCCAGAAACTAGTTTCTTTACCTTCAATTATGTTCAATAATTGTTAAAATGACTAAAAAAGTTAATGTTAAACTTTTAAAATTATTGAATAGTATAAACTTCTTGATATTTACTAAAATAGTAAGGAATTTAAGCCCTAGAACCGATTAATGTTTTGGCGGACTGATACTAAGGCTGGTTGCCCGGCCAGTGCAAGCGAAAACATGTTGAGGTCAGTTCGTAAGAAATTCGTTAACCGAATTTTTGTTCGTTAACTGAATTGAAGATTCTTATGGAAGGCATTTCGTTAACCGAGGGATCACTGTATATGAGTACAGTGGAGTTTTGATAATTCACTAAATACAAAGTTGCATTCTTTAATTCACAGGTACCTCTGTTACTACCACTTATTTTTTTTTGCTGTCCAATATTCATAATTCATGACAGAGTATTGTAGTGTTTGTTTACATAAAACCCATAAAAATTTTCCAATTATAATTTCATTGCTCTAATATGCCTTGGAAATAAAGGAGATATAATATGACTGCCATTTCAATGCTCCAGTGTGACTTAGAAATAAAGAAAATGTAGTAAACCCTCGATATAATGGACACTGTCTATAGAGGACCTTGGCTTTAACAGATACTATGACCTGTTCTGAAAAGGTTCATATATTATGGATTCAGGTCCGTTAAAGTAAAAAGTAAATGATTCTGGTCCTTTATGGTAAAAAATTTATGGAATGGGGTCCATTCATAACCAAATTATCACAAATAATTACAGTAAGTAATATCTCTGTTAGCCGGAATCCCTAAAACCTGGAACTTTGCAACAGCCGGAAATGAAATTTGCTCGGAAAATCATTCTCAAAGCCAGAATTTTCCAAAATCTTCCGGCTTTGGGAACAAATTTTCCGAGGTTGAAAATCGAGAGCATTTTCTGAAAATGTCTGGAATAAAGACGAAAGCTAAAGTATTTTGGGGGAACCTGACCTGACCTGACTCAATCTCAGGTGGAGGTAGGGTGGGGGATTAGTGGGTCTCATGACCTGAAGATGTCTTGAATAAACACGAAAGCTAAAGTATTTTTAGGGAGAATGTGATAAGTATAATTATAAATGAGCAAAGTTGTATCCCTTTAACATTACATTACATAACATTTTAATATATGGAGTGAGAAAGCAGAAAGGTGTGGGTGATTAGAGAGATGGAGTGGAAAGGAGTGTAACATGCACCAGTGTTGCCAAGCGATAAGCTCCTCAACAGCTGATCTTCTAATTCACCTCCATGCAGTCACACAATAAGACCCTCACTGGATGCTTGTTGTTTTAATTCCTCTTTGTGTGCGTGTGTTGCCAAACATTCAAAGAAATATTGTTGAGCTTGCCAAGCACATTGTAGGATTTGAAGTTGATGAAAAGTTTGTTTAGGAGTCAGGTGGTGAGGTGACATACCAAGACACTTACACAACACACACATTAACAGCACTACTAAACCATTGTCTTATAACATTATACATTAGAATTTCTGTTTTAAAATTGATACATTATAGCCCGACTGGGCTACTTTTGCATTTAGACAACTGATCAATAAATAAACCAGGGCATATTGAAATGCATTATACCCTAGTGATGTCACAAAGCTCCACAACTGCTGAGTCAGCGCATAAATTATCACAACCTGTACTCAATTGTACTAAGTTAATTACTAAAAAAAATTTATGGCCAGTGTAAACTATGGGATGTTTAGACTCAAATTAATTGCTATCTTGCAAGAATTCCAGCAATGCAAGTTATATTCTGCTAAATGAAGTCAGTGACATTTTATAAGCAAAAACTTAAAACTCCCTGCCTTTTATAATCCTTGAGTATGCGTTAATCTCCCCTCCTGGCTGTCAACACCCCACCTCTTCCCAGCCATCAGGAAGGAAGGGGGGGGGGGGGAGATGGTGGCGATAATGATTAATGGGATGAAATTTGTTTTAGGGTTAAAGTTTTCTCTTATACCGTAAAATGTCACAGACTTGACTTAAGAGAATATAACTTGCATTTTTGGAATCCGTGCAAGATAGGGATTAATTTGAGTATACACATCTTATAGTTTGCACAAGAGATAAATTTTTAGTCCTTTAGCATAGTACATTGAGTAGAAAATGAGTACAGTAATATGCTGCTCAAAATTATGACTTATGGTATTGAATGTTACAGAGTATTTCAAATAAATTCTTTGTTTAGTTTTTTACATAGAAACTTGGGATAGAAACTGTAATAATTTGAGCTTATTATACAGTAAAATATTTATTTTGACCTTATTATTCAGCTTCTCATTTAAGGATATCATACTGGTAACTTCTCATAGAGGATCATTATGGTATCAAATTCATCTCTTTTAACATAAATAAAGATTATAACAAATGCTGTGAGGTAGGAAGGGAGAGGGAGAAGGGTCCATTGGGGTTAAATGTGACTATGCCGCCCCCCTCCCCCAAAGGGTCGTCTCACTGTTTGTCTACTGTACTGACTCATTCATGATTCAATATTGTTTATTTGTTTTTCTTTAATTAGTACAGATACATTACTGTAATAATCTGTGCTTATTAATACCTGCACCCTTCATATACAATACAGTACAATATTATATATATCCAGCTCCTCCCCAACTTACGACGGGGTTAAAGACCCAAATCCAGGTCGTAAGTCGAAATGCTTAAATAATACATAGAAAATCTAAAATGGGTGTCTCTTTTTCTTCTTAGCACCACAAAACTCTCACTTATAAGCTTGCCAGCCATTTTAAAGTGAATTACAAACGAAAATTTTGTCAGTACACAGCGCAATCACTGACGTTGGGACTTGAAAATACGCAATTTGACAAAATTTTGGTAGTTTGAAAAAATTTTGGTACGACTGAGGCAGTCGTATGTCCGGGTGGTCGTAGGTCGAGTATGTCGTAAGTCAAGGAGCAACTGTACTGTATTTACAGTGGTCCCTCGGTTAACGAACACAATTCGTTTTATATATATATACAGCTCCTCCCCGACTTACAACCTACTCGACTTATGACCACCCGCACTTACGACCTGCCTCAGTCGTACCAAAATTTTGTCAAATTACGTATTTTCGAGTCCCAGCGTCAGTACACAGACAAAATTTTCATTTGTAATTCACTTTAAAATGGCTGGCAAGCTTAAAAGTGAGTGTTTTGTGGTGCTGAGAAGAAAAAGAGACCCCCATTTTAGATTTTCTATATATTATTTAAGCATTTTCGACTTACAACCTGGATTTGGGTCCCTAACCCCGTCATAAGTCGGGGAGGAGCTGTACTGATCGCTATAAGAACAGCCCAGTCCCAACCATTGTAATCAACCAGTGTATCACTCCCAGTCAATCTTACCTTTTTGCACTGTCACTATGTTGAAATGCTTTGTAGTATGACCTTCTCCCCACCTTGTTATTATATATCATATTTGTATCACTTGTACAGTATATTATTTGTAAACCAAGAGATCCATTTCCGAATTATGCAACGTTATATTTTCAGCCTTCCGGCTGCCATTCTCTTTCAATAAACCGTTAATTATTATTATTAGAAGTAGCAGTATTTCTCACACACACACACACACACACAGAGTATGAACACATGTTCAGGACTGTATTTCTGCACATTATCAGTAACCATGAACATTTGTGGTCAGTCTTTGTTGCTACTTGTACACCAAATCCAAAAACTTTTGAGACATCAGTCGTCAAAAAAAATATAAAACATCTGCCAAAATACCAACCCAATGTGTTCCAACTGATACGTGAACACATCTGAGGTTAATGCTGATTTTCTATTCTATCAGACCTTGGGGTCTCAGTACTTTTTGGATTAACTGTACATTATATACTTCCCATTCTTTTTACTACAATAGTAACTTTATTTACATAGATTAACATTCATTAGCTCATTCATGATAGACTGTTTCTTTACACTGCACACTATTTTATCTTTTATATATTGTGTATTGTATAATGCATAAGTTATATATACAGTACTTGATTCTTTTGTTTTATTTTTATTTTTTTAATTAAATTTAACTTTGTTTAGAAGCTTCCAGCATCAAACAAAACTCCAGATCAGCATCTCTTGGTGAAAGGCAGAAGGGGTCTCTGGGAACTTCTTTAGCTTCCACACGACCAAAGGTTAGTTTCAAGAAAATATAAAATGTCTCTTTTATGTATGATACAATGAATATTTACAGTACTGTATATTAGAATCAGCTTTAAGAACATTTCTTGCCTAATTTAGTGTCCACATAGATGTTGTATTGCCAATGGGTCATGAATGAGTGCCATGTTAGGTACTACAAACTAGTAAACACTATAACACATCCCACCATTGCCACAAGGCTAGGCTGTTTAGCATCATGTTACACTACCTCTATAGATTAATGTACAGGTTGTACCTCTCTAGTCCGGCATTCTGTGGTCCGGAAACTCCCGTGGTCCGAAATGATTTTAGTTTGCCCATGGAGAAAATTAATTTGAGTCTGGTACTTTCGATGTTTGGCTAAATTTTACCTTATTTACAGTAGGCTCTCACCAATAACGACTTTCACAATAACGTTTTCGACAATATCGGTAAGTTACAATAGATACCCATTTTCGATAGTAACGTCTGGATTCTCATGAATAACGGAGATTTCGCGGGAAGCGTCGGAGTGCATCAAAGGTAGCGTTTGTTTGCCACCATGTTGATGACGTAGTTGTCCTCTCCGCCTCACACACGCTCCGTGGAATACAGCGCTGCGCCCACGTGTGAGATTTTCGCCTCTATAACCAGTGGTTGCAAGGGTCGGTGAACAATAATGCATTTGTGCCTGTGGGGGTAGGGGAGGTGGTGGAGGGAGTGATTTGCTACTTGAATTCCCGGGAACTTTTAAAGTGAATGAGAAAAAAGACCCCAAAGCTAAGAGACAAAGCCACAAGAAGCAAGCCTTCTCAGTCAAGGATAAAGAACAGATTGTTGAGCTCATTGAAAGTGGTGCACGGTACATTGATATTGTGAGGAAATTGAACTGTCCTGAGTCTACAGTGTGAAATATTAAGAGGAACTTAGAGGAGACAAAGAAGAATATTGTGCTGGCTAAGAAATATTTCGGTAGTGATGGAAATGCGAGGCGAGCTATGAATGATAAAAGTGATAGAAACAGATTGTTAGTGATAACAGAGCATTTTCTTGTGAAATGGTTAGCTTGTAGAATGAAAGACAGTGCAAGTCTTAGTGACCCTCAGATACGGAACAATCATCACACCAAGCACCTCAAAAACTCCCCCAAGCTAAGTGTTATATTACTCAAACTCTTTATTTTGATGATTGAATAACAATTCTTTTTATTTCTGCTAACAATAAGTGTTAGGCAGGGCTTCTAAGGGGAAAAATTGGGTGAAATTCTTGGGGCAGCGGCACCAATAAACCCTTTTTACAAGTATTTTAATGTCACACAAATAACGTTTTCGCTTATAACGGCGTTTTTCAGGCTCCTATTAGACGTTATTGGTGAGAGCCTTCTGTACCCTACTTTTTTGGCGAATTACTACCTGTAATAAAGCAACATCCTAATAAACCAACGAAAATAACACAGATAAAATTAAATAAAAACTAAAAACAATGCAGAAAAGTTCTTATGTTCTACAACTTCAGCTAGAGTTAAGCATACGTCATCCGAGTAAAAACACACACAACAACATTGGCTGTCTTTATGTTTTCAACTTTACCACCACTGGTGGGTAGAATTTTTTTTTAAATTCAGAAACATTAATTAAAATATGTATGAACAGTAAATAAGTGTTGCTTTCATATTTTCAGGTATAGTAATGACGATATGTTTTCACATGTGCGCACTTACATACATGAGCTCACTTTTTTCTTTACCATTAATGGTTAGCTACTTATATTGTTCCATTTATTAACATTAAATAACATTACTTAAAACAACCATATTAATTTTTTACATTAATTTTACAACAGCTACAACCAGGGTCTTATTTTCTTCAGTTTTATATGTAGATCCAGTCAGTCACTGGTTTTGAAATCAGGAAAACAATGACGTCTCGTTTCCTCGTGTGTTTTAATATTCTACCAGTGGTGGGCACAGCTAAACGAAAAGTTAGCTTCACTAACTGCTAATGTGCTAACTAAAAAGTTAACTTCGCTAATGCTAAACCACTAAACAGCTAAAAAAAATTAGCGGAAGCTAACGCTAACCGCTAACTCTTATTATATGAATTTAGCTTTTTTTTTTTTTTTGCTCTAAAACCCTTAAAAACAGACCTATAGAGCTGAAATTTTCATATGTTGTCTTGTTGCTTAGACATTGAGCTTTCCAAAAAGGTATAGCATGAAAAGATCAGATGATGATCAAGGTGTAATAAATAATTAAATGAACAAATGAAATTAAACATTAGTTTACATTCAAGTTTCAACATACACTTTATATCCTTTATTTACTGTATGAAAAGACAGAAAGTATACTAATCCAAAAACTATAGTACTGTATAGCATAGGTAGCAAATAGCATCATGCCAAGATCAGATGATGATCAACTTATCAAGGTGTACACTGTACAATTTCAATAATTAATTTGCATTCTCATACTACCTATCGGCCTTATTCATTATTCATGTAAATATGCGATACCAACCACATACATTATACCAGTGCATTTTATATAACTTATTGTTCTTAGTCATATAAATAAACAGAAAACTCTAAACTTTAAAGTTTTTAGAAAATTTTGTTTGGCCTTTTTATCACGTTTACTGCATCTAACGCAGTCACAGCGTGCCTGCGACTGGCTGTTGGATACACTCACCACAGCGCTCACGCATTACAACAGAACAAACATGTATAAATTTTGTTAGCGGTTAAAGTTAGTGGAACTAAATTTAAGCAAGCTAATTGGTCGCTATGGTTTAAATTTAGTGAAAAGCTTATCCGCTAACGAAAGTTAGCTTCGCTAATTAGCGGTTAGCAGATTAGCCGAACCGTGCCCCCACTGTATTCTATATATATTAATGAATTTATTGTATTTCATTTCACACATAAAATAATTAAATCAAAAGACATTCAGTAATAAACAATAATGAATCTTTGTACCACGAGAAATGACACTGTTTACGTTTGTGCACGTCTGAGCGTTGGCAGACCCCTCAAACCGTCGGGGAAATTGAGTTTCGCCGTCAAAATTTTAAATTGCAGCGGGTTTTTTTTTTTTCCAAATAAAAACGTTGAATTAAAAACTCTCAAAATTTGAGAACCTACTGTACAACATTTAACCCTTCAATATATCTTAAAAGAGACCACGAAGCAGTGAAAGTGGTGCTAGTGCTTCCAAGCGTAAGCACAAGTCGCTATCTATCCAGGAAAAGGGTGAATTTCCATGGTCCGGTACCGGTCAGGTCCCGAGGTTGCCGGACTAGAGAGATACAACCTGTAATTACAACAGTACTGTATAGGGCAATTCAGACTCCTATCCCAGTGGTTGCTTTGACAAGAAGAGTGGCTTCAAATTTAATGAGACAAACCCTACTGGTCAGTTTCATAATACAGCACCTCCTTACCAACAATAAATCGGGAATCCTTTTCTTAACTCCCTCATTTTACATGCCACATTCTGGCCATATGGATGTAATATAGGCAGCTCTCAGTTGAGTATCAAGTGGATCAACTAGAGGCCTACAGTATGTGTGTATAGTTTTCTTTCTGTTAATTTATTGCCCACATAGTTGTTTTATATTATGCTCTGTATGCATGTTTATAAGGGTAGTGGTATTAAGAAAGATAGCTGTCTACCATCTTGATCTCATTCAGCTGTTAAATATTTTCCGTGTGTACAGGAAGTTCTTAAGTTATGATTGGGTTCCATTCTAAAATTTAGTATGTAAGTTATTTTTTTGGAATTCAACTCAAATTCTCATAGACATAATGTTATAAATGGTGGTTAGATTCCAAAGCCAGCCCTCAAAAGCTCATTTAACCCTTAAAGCTGAAATATTGTACATTTTAAATGGATAATACAGTAGTAGATAACAATACTGTACTGCACTATTGTAATACAATTACAGTGTCCTGACCCTGGTGGTCTGGACTTCACTTAATCCATAATACATTTACTGTATACATGCGACCTTGGTCCCTAATAGCCTCGAATAATGAGTAGTGTACAGTACAGGTATATTGAAGAATATGTTTGAAATTGCTGATATTCACAAATTCATTATTTGTAATGACTTTTAGGAACGCATATCTCGTGATAATAGGGGTATTCTTGTATAGATAATAAGTCTACAAATGCATTCATCTTAATGGCCACTCAGGTATGGCAAGCTCGACTCTACAATTATTGTGAGGTGAATCACTCAGAATTTTGCTTGTTAAATTGAATGTAATCTCATTTATTGAATAATTCTAATGTAAACCAAATTCTTGTTCAACATCCTGTAACTACCTTCCATTTTTAAAAAAAATATCATCTTATTGTTTGGGTAGTAAAGAAAGGTTATACAATCGTTGTCTCTTTTACAGGGTAGTAACAATTTATTTATTCTTTGTTAAATGCTTTATGTACTAGAAAGTTTATACTACAACATGTAATTTTTAGATAAAACATAATAATAATATATACATCACCACCCCAAATAAATTATCATTATATTATATACTATAATTTTTTCTTCTTTTTTTTTTTATTATTAGTTTGCAAAAATTTTATATATATATATATATATATATATATATATATATGACCAGATGATATCATCTTGATACGTCCTCGTTCTTGAAACGTGATGTTAACAATGGACGTTGTCATTACATAACCTATGGGATATATTCTAATTGGTTCCAGACACCAACCCCAAGTTTCCACTTCGACCATTTAAACCCACTAAACATATATATAATGTTATGGTAAACATAAAAAATGATGAAAAGGATACAATTAATACTGTAAAGTGGGTAGTCCACAAAACAGCATAGCTGCTATCTCCGCTTTATTTGAGTGCCCCATCAAAGGAGTCCATTTTCTCCTCACTTCAGGACACCTGAGTTGTCCGCTTTCTAATCTTAGAGTGCAGTGCACCAGAGACTTTGTTATTCCTAGTAATGACACAGAATTTGAAATTACCCAATTGCAACTGGG